ATTTGGGGTTTTTTTTTTTTTTATTTTACGGGTTTTTTTTTTTTATTTTTTCTTTTTTTTTTTTTATTAGTTTTTTTTATGCCCTTAAAATCCTTTTCATTGGCCGGTGGCGTAAAAATATTAATTTTTTTTTTTTTTTTCTTTCGAGGAAATTTTTGGAAAATTATGAAACAGAATTCCAAATGTTTTTGATTATCATTATCATTTATTTCTGAATCGATTCATTTTGTTCTATTTATCAATTCTTTCGTTTTTATTGTTATCATTTTTTTTATTCTTTGTTGTTATTCTATCTTTTTGATCGAGTTCTCCAAAAAATATTTTCTATCCTTTTTTATTCTTACATATTTTTGTATTTGTATCCATCTTCCTACAAATTATAATCATTTTCTTTACTAACAGACATTTCTTGCGTGGATAACGTTGGGAGCATCGATATACGGTTCGAAACCAGAGTTACTTCCCTTTTCCAACGAAACTTGCCCTGGTTTCTATAGAGACCACGGAAATAACAGTTTTTTCAAACCGGAATTGGCGCCAAAACTGGAAGTCGGATTCATGGATCACGAACGCCAACTGCAAGCGCGTGAATCCGCCGCGACTGCGAACGCTTCTCTCATCGAGGAAGATAAGTGGGTTGTGTTTTTATTATTATTATTACTATTTTTTCATATCTTTTGCAAGGTTTGTTTTGGTATGTTTTGTTGAAGCGGTTAACTTTATTATTTTGATCCTTAGTGTCAACAGGAACAGAAATAATGATGATGCGGCACTGATATTTGAATTAGTATTACTTTTAATAATCTTTTTATCGCAGTCATATCATAATCACAACCATCATCATGAAAATGCCCTTAAAAGCATCATTTTCATCACCATCATCAAATCACACACACGCACACACACACACACACACACACACACACACAAACAAACAACCATACACACAAACAAAATCACAGTCGACGGTTAGAGTGACAGGCCCATCGATAGACAAATAGACATGACCTCTTCCCGATTTCCAGCTGGGGTTTCATGTACCTCTACGGCCTGTCATACACGCTCTTCATGCCCCTGGGAACGGCCGCTTTCCTCGTCGTCGCGCGCCTGGTCACGGTTGCCACAGGTGAGAGGAAAGTCAGTGGGTTCTTGGAGACGGGGAATAAATCTGTATTTGTGTCTGTTTGTGTGTCTCTGTTTCTGTTTGTCTGTCTGTCTCCGTCTCTGTCTCCTCTGTCTCTGTCTCTCTCTCTCTCTCTCCCTCTCTTTATCTATTTATGTGTCTATATACATATATCTGTCTATATTCTCCTTGTTCCGTTAAAACTACTTATCATTTGGAATGAATTTGCTGATGAATAAATTGACAAAAAATAATAAAAAATAATATAATAATAATAATTATAATAATATTAATAGTAATAAAATAATAATAATAATAATAATAATATTGATGATAAAAATAGAATAAAAAAAACATTATAATATTCAGCAGGTGAATGAAATACAAATATTACGCGATTGCCTTCTGTGTGATGATAAAAGTACGCGCGGTTTGTCCCAGGTGGCGAGGACCTTCGTCAGGTGAGGCCGGAGTTGGTCAGTCCCCTGGTGCGCGGGCTCCTCCCAGCGCCGCCAAAGGGACCCAGGGACACCGCCTACCATCCCGTCAGAACCTCTAATCACTCAGAAGACGCTGCTCCTGCTCCTGCTCCTTCTGCGGTCAGAGTTCTAAACACGAAGGTCTAGAATTTAGAGGATTTTTGAAGTTCCAAGTTTTTAGTTCTAGTTTCTAAGGATGTTGTTTGATTCCTGGCGAACCCTGAGCTTTCTGAAGGATTTCTCTAATTCTTGAGCTAGAATCCTATAATCCTACATGTATGTACTATAGATTTAATAACACTAATGGCAATACGATTTAGTACCAGATTTGATACCGATTCCAGCGATACTTTGGTTGGTAATAGGCTAAACAGCTGCACCCAAAGGATTTGATTCCTTTTCAAAGTTTCTGGTGTTTATACGCAATCCTTATCTCAGGTAAAGCGATCCCCCAACTCTCTCTTGCACATTTTCTGTTAATTATACGACACAATTTACCATTTGTGTTGTGTGTATGTTGCGTGTGTGTGTTGTGTGTGTGTGGTGTGTGTGTGTGTTGTGTGTGTGTGTGTGTGTGTGTGTGTGTGTGTGTGTGTGCGTGTGCGTGTGTGCGTGTGCATGTATGTTTGTATTATAGGTAGTTATTTAATTAAACATTCATTGCGTTTATTTCTTGATCAACTATAGACTCATAGTAAGTTGTACAAGGAATAACGAAACACAGCCAACTTGTTTACATTTACTAGCATTATCATAAATTCTTATAATTAAAATGGAGACAATCTCGCCTCTTTTAATAAGGCCAAGAGGACGGACACATGGGGGAAATAAACAAAAATGAAGAAAAAAATGCAAATAAAAAATAAGAGATGAAATTACGTGAAAAAAACGATAATGAAAGTATAGAAAAAGAAAGATGATATTATAAAATGAGAATTTCTAGGAAGACTGAGGTGTTTGTGATATTCATAAAGCTCTAACATTTAAAAAATATCAAAGGCGTACATTTTATATATTTTTCATCGTATTATCAAAATTCAGTATAAGGGCCAGGATTTGAGTAAGCTGTGGTTAGTTTCAACAACAAAAAATCCCTATTACCAATAATAATTATAATTTGAATACATTTTAGACCTTTAGTTTAAAAAAAAGCAGAGACGGATAGTGTGGGACTTACACTGAATTCTTGTAATACACACTAGTTAATTCAAAGATAATTTACTGTGTAGAAAAGGTATGGAAAATTATCAATACCATCTGTAGTGAAATTATGTACTCTCAGCCATACATTTTCTACGTTTTAGCTCAAGAAGCTTCTGTATTCAAACCGCTAACGGAAGAATCTCGATGCTTCAGAAAGGAGTTCGAACACAAAGCTTGACTCCGAACACAATGGTCGCCTTTTGTTTTGATTTTGTTTTGAGAATATGAGTATCATAAATTTTACGTTAGCCCTCTCCATGAAGAGAATATACAGGGACAATATCTATCTTATTTATCTTATTTACTTTCGGTGAAAATGAAAGACAAAATACAGCGAAAGTGATCGATGAAACTGAACTTCCTTGTACTTGAAAGGCAATGACGTCATCACAATGGCGCGCCGAAAAAAAAAGTTAAATCAAATTTTGTCTACTGATATAAAATGTCTATGGTAGTCAATAGCATGTTATTAAGATTAATGTGCAATGGATATGAAAATCGAGAGAACAAATTTGAAAAAAAGACTCGAGATGGGAAATAATCCTAAACTTACCACGAAAGAAATAGTAAAAAAAAAAAAAAAAAAAAAAAAAAAGTAACGAAAAGACAAGAAAAAGAAAGATCAAATTTATGACTCAGATTTGTGCATAGGATACAGCTGGTGTCCGTTGGCTGTGTCCTCCATGGAGAAGGTTTTGACAGGGAGGTAATAGGAGTCCTTCGTCGTCCTAGAACTGGCAGGAAGGAACCGCCGGATAATAGGACTCACCAGCTCCGGTCTTACTCGGCTCAGATCCTCTCCACCTGCGAGGAAATTACAGTTACTATTGTGCTTGAAATAATAATGACAACAATAATAACAATAATAATCGGGTCCTTGTTCTTATTGTACTTGACTGATGATTTTCCAGTCAAGTTAAAGTTGATCAATAATAAAAAAAACTTATTTATCTCCCTTTTTCAAGCATGCGGATAATAATAATATTTAAAAAATACACATTTACTACTTACTCGACTTTGATATGTCAAAAAAAAAATCAAATATTTTTGCACGGAAAAACAAACTCATACTTTCTATATAAACTAACCTTTATAACACATGCAAAACTCTTTCTTCTTTTATAGACAAGCATGGAATAACTATAATCGCCACAGAAAATCTCGCTAAATCTAGGTGTATGTAAAGTAAACAAACCAGACTTTATCAAAAGGGTCCCTCACCTGTAGCGATAGTGATGATAATGGCCACGACGATGCAGGTAAGAGTTCCGATGACTGGATAAAGTGTGTAGGATATCTTATATAAGGCAAGGAGTGGCCAACTGCAAGAAGAAAGGGGAAAGGGTGAATATTGAAAGGGATTCTGGTATTAAGATGTGGGTACACTGTGGATTGGTATAGCATGACTTTTGGGTGAGTTTTGGTGTGTGTGTCATGTGTAGATTTGTAGAGGGATGATGGTTAAACTTATTTGTATTCAGGTTCTCTTTCTCTCTGTCTGTCCATCTCTCTCTCTCTCTGCTTCCTCTCTGCCCTCTCTCTCTATCTCTCTCTCTCTCTCTGTCACTCACTCACTCACTCTTCTCTCTCTCTCTCTCTCTCTCTCTCTCTCTCTCTTCTCCTCTCTCTCTCTCTCTCTCTTCTCTCCTCACTCTCACTCACTCCCTCTCTCTCTCACTCCTCTCTCTCTCTTCTCTTCTCCTACTTCTAGCCCTACTCCTACCTCACTCCCACTCCTAGGCTCCCGAGCCAGTTAGTTACTCCTCCTGTGCCTTGGGTTCCTCGACGAGGCTCTCGGCAGCAATGACGGCGGCCGCATCCTCCTCCAAGTCGAGTTCGTGTAATGCGGATTTACTCATGACGTCATCAAGATCGTTCTGGCCTCTTGAATGGACGAAAGAACTGAGATTCGCAAACTGGGTGACGTCACTCATCACCTGATTGTCGTGGGTATCCAGCGTCTGATTGCTGACGTTGAAGCTGACGGGGCAGTTGTCAGCCGAGAGAGAGAGGTATTCGGGCTTGGTGCCGTAGAAAGAGGCCCCCATCGCTATCCAGGAAACGAAGACCTGCGCAGGAGATAATGTCGGTTTTCAAAAGGAATTATTTATCTGATTAATGACTAGATTAGGATGATTAAGGCATGGAATAGTTAAACACAAAAATAATAGTCTTTATTGTCAATATTCTGATGAGTGAAATTTATTAACGGGTTTCCGGAAATTTTAAGTTTGTGAAAACAATTATCATTCCTTATGGGGAAGGTCCATTCATATTTTCAGGAATTTTACAAAGTAAATAGTGTAATTTGAAGAGAATGATATCTGAAGGTAAACGATAAAACAACTAAAAAGGAAATTTTAAAGTATTTCAAATCGAAGTACCTTAACAAAAGGTGAAAGTTTTTTTAAAAGGAAATATTTAAATATGTAAAAGACTTTAAAATAAATATCAATCAAATGACAGAATCACATTTAAGAATATTTCGGTGCATAATAAACAACTCCCTCTTAAAAAAATCAAAACAAACTACGAATAAAATCCAGAAGCTAAAAAGACAGAAAAAAAGAAAGAAAAAAAATCCAAAGAAAAACAGCAACAGCAGAACCGTTTACCGCCGACGTGACGAGCCCCACGAATGCCCCGCGGCGGTCGCAGTGGGGCACGAGGATGCCCAGGATGAAGAGGCCGAGCATGGGGCCGCCCATGACGCCCGTGATGGTGATGGCCGCCTGGATGAGGCCGCCGAAGCGCTTGGCGAAGAAGGCCACGCCGATCATGACGGCGCCCACCATCAGGGCTGTGGGCGGGGTGGAAGGGGGAGGGGGGTATGTTATTAAATGATATTATGAATATGATCATTATAGTTGCGATGATAATGATAACAACATACAAATTCTAACGACAATAACGTAATACCAAACAATAACATAAGCAACACCACTCCAAAACAAAAAACACGAAACATACAAACAACAAAACAAACACCCACACAGGATCTTGTTGACGATGGCCCGCCCGTTGGAATCTTCCCGAAAATGGCAGGGGTCAGGGTGTCCGTCCACAGAGGAGTTGAGTCCCGTCCCATTTTATGATTGTATTGTTGTTATATTGTTTATTATTATTATGATTGTATTTGTGTTATTTGTTATTTGTTATTATATGATTTAATTATTGTCATTATAATATTATATTATTTTTCCTTATTCGATTTTGTTTTGTTTTTCTCTATCTTCTGTCTGTCTGTCTCTACTTTTTGTTCTGCACCTCTCCTTTTCTCTCTGTCATGTTTCTTCTCTTGTCTTCTCTGTCGCTGTCTCAGCCTCTGTCTGTCTGTCTGTCTCTCTCTATCTCTCTCTCTCTCTCTCTCTCTCTCTCTCTCTCTCTTCTCTCTCTTCTCTCTTCTTCTCTTCTCTCTTCTCTCTCTCTTCTCTCTCTCTCTCTCTCTTCTCTTCTCTCTCTCTCTCTCTTCTCTTCTCTCTTCTTCTCCTCTTTCTTCTCTCTCCTCTCTCTCTTTCTCTCTTCTCTCTTCTCCTCAATGTCTCCTGTCTCTCTGTCTCTCTCTTCTCCCTCCCTCCTTCCCTGCCTCCTTCTCTCCCTCCCTCCCTCCCTCTCTCCCTCTCCCCCCTTTCTCTTTCCCTCACCCTCTATCCTTCTCTCCCTCTCTCTCCCTCTCTCTCTCCCTCCCTCCCTTCTCTCTCTCTTTCCCCTCCCTCCCCATCTCTCTCTTTCCTCCCTCTCTCACTCTCTCTCTTTCTTAGGGGAGGTAAGTACCTAAGTGTGTTATTCTTCCCTTAACCCTGTCCGTCTATTGTGGGTAAGGTATCACTGTATGTCACATTAAATATACATACATTCAGAGAGAGATAGAAGGCGGGGGGAGGGAGGGAGAAGGGTAGAGGGTGAAACATACGCATACAGAGATGGATAGAGGGAGTAGAGAGGAGAGAGGAGAGAGAAGAGAGAGGAGAGCGAGAGAGAGAGAGGAGAGAGAGAGAGAGAGAGAGAGAGAGAGAGGAGAGAGAGTGGGCGGGAGATGGAGGGAGGGAGAGAAGAAAGGACGACGACGGCGGACGAAGAAGAAGAAGAAGAGAGAGAGAGAGAGAAGACGAAAGAAGAAGAAGAGATGAGGAGAGACATAAAAGATAGGCAGCCGTAGTACAGAGGAGAAAGAAAGATAGATAGATAGAGAGAGAGAGAGAGAGAGATTCAGACAGACAACACCACACACACACACGCAATACAGAGAGAGGGACGGAGAGACACATGTACAGTGAGAGACACCCACAACACAAAATACATCAGAGAGAGAGGACAGGCAAACACAGAGAGGGGAGAGAGAGACAGACAGAAGAGACAGACAGACAGACAGACAGACAGACAGGAGAGGAGAGAGAGAGATAGAGAGAAGACAAACAGACAGAGAGAGAGAGAGAGAGAGACAACACAACACAGAGAGAGAGAGAGAGGAGAGAGGGAGAGAGAAGACGAAAGAAGAAAGAGAGAGAGAGACAGGCAGGCAGACACAGAGACACACACCCCTCCCCCCCCAAGAATCCCAACACCCTTCTTCAACCAAAAGACGTACCCTTTTCAAATGCATATTTCAAATGCTATCCGTCCTAATGATGATTGAAGGCGTATGAAATATGGTATAACACTGCTAATTCACCATACAATTGGGTACGGTTTTAAAGGCCCTTGAAATGCCCCTTTTCGTACCCTAAGTTTCATATTGTATGGGCAGAGGTACAAGGCTAGTTTAAACCCACGATGAAATATGGGGTTTGCGAAAAAGAGGGAACGAATATAGGCTTATGGGCTTGGCGAAGTGTCGGGGAGTTATGGAAACAGATGATAGGATAAATATTATATAATGGTATAGTGATAAATGAGATGGTTATGACGATGGTGATAATAATGATGATGTAGAAAATAATGATGGCATATAACAATAGCAGAGCTAGTTGTGTAGAAGCAGCAGTAATAGTAGTAGTAGTAATAACAACAGTCGAATAACAACAACAGTAATAATGATAACAATGGCAATAATAGTAACAACAACAATGATAATAATGATAATTATAATAATGATAATGATGATAAAAATAATAATAATAATAATAATAATAATGATATATGATATTATATTATTACCATTCTTATTGTGATGACAACAATAATAATAATGATAACTAATAAAAATAGTTATTATGAATAATGGCAAGAGTGATAAAATTATGAAAATAAATAGTAGTAATAATGATAATGATGATGATAATGATAGCCATGATCATAATGATTAAATAATGATAATGATAGTACTACTACTACTACTACTGGATATAATAATGATAATAAAGCAATAATGATAATGATGATAATAATAGTGATAATAACAATGGCAATGATGATAACAGTGATAATAATAATAATGATAATAATAGACGAGAATTAGAGTAATAATGATAACAACGAAACCACAACTACAATGATTATAACAATGGCGATAAAAGTAATAACAATAATGATAACAATAATAATAATAATAAAAGTAACAGTGAGAATAATAATGATGATAATGATTATAATAAAATAATAATAATAATGGTAATAATGATATATATGACAATAATGATGATAATAATAATGACAATATTTGTTAATTATAACAGCAACAAAAGAATAATCATAATAATGATATACTTAATACTAATACTACTATAATAATGATATTGATAATAATGGTAATAATTAATATCAATTAAAAAATAGTAACAATAATGAAATACTGATGATAATAATAATGATAATAATAATAAAAAATAAAAAAAAATAACGATAATAATAATGATAACACCAATTATAATAACAATAAAAACAGTAACAATAGTATTAACAATCATCATCCTTATCATCATCAAAATAATAAACAATAACACCAACACCGACAACCCAGCCATTACCTCAGCGCGCCACTGAAAAGCGTGGCGACGAAGAGGCCGGGCATGCCATACAAAAATCCCATTTTGTCCATGACGAAATAGGGCATAATCTGGTCCTTTGTGCTGATGAGACCTCGGGTCAGGGGGTCACAGCCGTGGTAGGTCGCGAAGGCACAGAGGCCGCTGAAGTACAGGAGGCCGCAGAGCACTATCATGCCCACGATGTTCATGTACAGGACTCTGTTGGGGGTGAAAGGGTGTTTGTTTGAGAGGTTTTTCGTTTGAATTTTTGTATTGTTGAAGGAAGGAAGGCGGAAATACATCTTTAGTGGAAATACAAGAAGATACAATGTATTAGGGTTAATACATTCATTATTATTAATCATTATTGATACAATAATGATAATGATACTAATAAAAATGGTAATGATGATAATATGTAATTGTAATGGTAATACTGATAAAATGATGAATAAAACATAGTAATAAAATAAGATAATGATAACAATAATGATAACAATGATCATAATGATAAAATAATGATAATGATACGTGAAATGCTGGACGAAGAACCAAAATGCTAGGACACACAAACGCAAATTACTAGGACATACAAACGTGAAATAGTAGCATACACTACAAAGTACAAGGGCACAAATCACAATACGCTTGGGTACAAAATACACTTACTCGCACGAAACACGACGCAGATACAAAGATCTGGACTAACACAAACACACACACAACACCACACAAATACTAGGACAACACTAGGACACACGAACAAACACACATATACATAAACATAAACACAGATCACTAGGACAAACACCAACAACAAAATATCAAACACACACCACACACACAAAAAAAATAAAAAACAGCATCAACACACACACACACACAACAAACATCAACACACAGAACAAATAAAAACATCAGCACACACACAAATGAAAAAAGGACATCAACACACACATAAAAAACAAAAAAACAACACATAACAAAACAGATAAACAACACAATATAAAAAAACAGACACACTAAAATGAAAAACACAAAACACAAAACAAAAAAAAAACATAAACACACAGAAATAAATAAATAAAAAAACTAAAAGTCCCAGCTCACCTCTTGGCCTGGCTCTCCGAAGGCACGGAGCAGATTCGCTGCAGGTTGGTCTGCGAGACGCCGTACACGGAGAAGTAGAGGACGGAGCCCATGGTGACCACGTTGGCCAGGGTGTGGCG